AAACAAAGGAATGTGATGGCGTGCTTCACGAATGCAACTGATATGTGACCAGGTCGATAAGTTTAACGTGCCCTGAAATGTTTTCAAATAACATGTGATAACCAAGATAACACTCTTTTAGATTAATTTTCAGCCTTAATATATGTGGAGTCGAGCGGACGTTTATTTCGAACACATGATCTGCTCTCGACAGTAATATAGCTTTTGGTTACATCGTCAACGGCAGTTTGCATGTCTGGTGTATAGTGTTTATACATGTGTCATATGATTAGCGTCATACACAATATATGACAAAATGCACTGTTGTCATTCAAGATTATAAACAGAGAGTTAAGATGCACAAGGTATTACAAAAGCTAACACAATAACACACGTTTCCGAAATTGCTCAATAATTGGAGTGAGTGAGTTTGGTTTTACGCCGCTTTTAGCAATATTCCAGCAATATCACGGCGGGGAACACCAGAAATGGGCTTCACACATTGTACCCATGACGGCTCAATAATTGGAACACATCTGGGAATGGTGACATGTTGACTTGTTGACTGGGGTTATCAGCCCAGAGGAAATTCATGATTTTGGAAACAGATACGAAAGCAGTTAAACACCGAACTCTTGCACTTTGTTTAACGTGTATTTAATGAATATATGATTAAACATTAATTTCATGTACTTGCCATAGTCTTCGTGTAGGAGTTACCAATGCAATACACTTACGTGATGTTTTAACCACTATATTCGGGAGTGACATGTTCGAAAACTGACTTTAAGTTAATAATTTAAGTTAATGACCTTATGCTAAATTTACTGATTAAATGTAAAGACTACTACTACTACTACTACTACTACTACTACTACTACTACTACTACTACTACTACTACTACTACTACTACTAATACTACTACGACTATTACTACTACTACTACTACTACTACTACTACGAATGGACTAAATGGATCAGGTTACTTGGTTCATTGCATGTCACCGAATACCGATTACTTGGGACGTTATGTAATATCAGTCACTTGAAGTGAATACTGATAGATGTATTCTTTATATTTTTAAAACTAAACCAGCTATCATGTATTGTGTCCAATTTGATTGTTCGGGGTATATTAAGTATTTATGAACTAGTTTTACTGTTACAATTGGCTTCCATTTTCAGGTTCAGTAAAGACTTTTCGTCTACTTCCATTCTTACTCCTACTACTCTTTCTGGCCAAATTAGCAAGCTAAATCCATTTGGTATTCTGAAGTTACACTGGACATGCTTTTGTACTTTGTAGGTTCAAGAGATATTTATGGCATAAGTGAGTGAGTTGGGTTTAACGCCGCTTGTAACAGTATTCCAGTCATATCGCGGCGTGTCAGCTTAATGTGGGAGGAAAGCCCGAAGTGATGCAGGTTTTAGACGTTTACCACTTCGGTGAAACCCACGAGCACGGGTATGGTGCTGACAAACCTAGAAACATAATTAGGGCGAACCGGGATTCGAACCCACAATCATAGGTTTCTGGCGTGCCCAAGGGACGCAACTCTGCACAGCGAATCACGGCGCCTTAGACGACTGGGCCACCCGTGCCCCCTTATAGCATAAGAACAGTATATACAAACATGTACTGTAAGTATACTTTCAAACTTTTATAACCTGTTTACCCTGGACAAACGGGTTTGAAATTGCTTTCTAAAATGAATCTTGTGTTTGCCTGTGCTATACGTATTAATAGCTTATTTAATACATATTTCCTTCGCTTACAATTAAACCAAAGAAATGCTGTTGACATTAATGAATGGTCTTATCAAGTTCTTTTGATTGTTAAGTTTCACTAATTTTGGGAATGTTAGTAATTTAGATGAGCTCAACCTCTGGTGCGTATGGGGGTCGGGTATGACTTTTTGTTCCAAAATGTAAATGAATAAAATAATTTTACCTGAGGTTTATATCCATAGAATTGTGTAAACGAATAGTCTGGATCTTCTTTCAGAAGAAAAGAAACTTGCATGACTTCAAGAAATAACCCCCACCCCAAAAATAAAAAAATATGTAATCCAATGAGTTTTAAAGGGAAACGCTGAAAACAAGGACATGTATCTGCATCACTTTGTGGTCACAATAGCATCATAGAAACGTCCACATAACGATTCTTAAAACACGATATTGAGAGGTAAGAGAGAGAAGTAAACAGACTGATCCCCCTTCTTCTACCTTGCCACGTTTCAGGTGAAGAATGTCGCATTTGTCGAGTCAAAAGGATATGCCAATATCAATAGAAAAGGACTCGACAAGGAGAATATGTTTTTTAGTGTGAATCCTCCACTGGCAATAAGTTCAATGTCATCCATGTGAAGTAGGCGAGTAAGGGTTGTTGGCATAATTATTATTATCACTGTCGCTTTTTATGTAGTTGTAGGGGCGGTCGGGTAGCCTAGTGGTTAAAGCGTTCGCTCGTCACGCCGAAGACCCGGGTTCGATTCCCGACATGGGTACAATGTGTGAGCCCGTTTCTGGTGTCCCCCGCCGTGATATTGCTGGAATATTGCTAAAAGCGGCGTAAAACCATACTCACTCAATTATGTAGTTGTATACGTTACAGCTAAAAAAGGTGGTTCAGATGTAAAATGCATTAGCTGTTAATGTTTCATTTACTAAAGCGTGTGGATCGTATCGCTTTCTACATAATGTTAGGAATGTACTCTTCCTTGCAATACCATAGCTATAGATGGCGGACGGTATACATACCAAATATATCCTATTCACTACTTCGAATGATCAATGGATGATGGTGTATACTGGATATGTTTATACATCGTAGAGGTGTCCTCCCGGTGTCCTCCCATTAGTTAGACAGCCAGTTGTTAGACACCTTAACATAACAACTTTTCTGGTTGAGTGCACAACAAAGTGCAATGCTGTTACCTTGATTGATAATGGAATGACCCATAGCTAAACATCAAGATATAACAAAACAAAAAGACGTGTTGAGTCAGATGTACTTATTTTATAAACGTTCATAAAATCAACATCAACAAGATCAACATCTGAGAGATTCCTGGGGAGAGCAGGCATGGTGTTGCGGCGCTGTCTGTAAAGGGCACTGCTGACGCTGGAGAAGGAAGGCAGAAGGGGTATCTCGTTGTCATCTTCTTGTGCTAGCTTGTCATTGTAGAGGGAGTGCATCTTGGTTGTTTCTTCATGGGCGCGCTTTCGAAGTGTGCTGAGGAACTTGAGTTTGTTGACATGTTGACATACGGGTGAGTGTGTATCGGATATGTTATATACATCATTCAGATTGATAATCGGAAGAGGGCGTACATCGGACATATTTAATATCCTCTCCAAACTTTGGGAACAGGGACGGGCGAGTACAGGGGCACATGTATACCACGTGTTTGCAGAGGTATCCATATCAGGATGTCAAGGCAGAATTAGCGTCCGATTATACACCCGCAGAGGTAAATGGAGATGTACCACTGCGTGAAATGGAGGAATAAACAGATGAAGCTCAAGTAAAGATGTTTAATGCAATGTTACATTTTAAGGTGTCCTGATGATAGTTTGTTAAGATAACGTTATGCTTAAAATTCCTGAATTGTTAATTCAGTAATAGATACTAGTAAGTCTCATGACAAGTTTTGAAATGTTTTACAAAGCTTTATCGACACCCACTACAGTGAATGGAAAAAGCCTTCGCCTTGCGTCTTCACGTTGACGAAAGATAAGTAGTATCCAGTGTCTACAACACACAGTGAAGTATCATTTCATTTTTAATTACTTTTATATCTTGCTTGGTACTGTTGACAGAAGTTCTGGTCAAGGTACATTTTCAGTACAAATGTTGCTGTAGTGTTGAATTGTTTGATACCTGTGATGAAAATGCTATGTGGATGACATGGTTACTCAACAGTTTTGAAGCGTGGTATTTGCTGCTAGTTTCAGCTCTGCCTATATGGTAAACCTTTACATCTAATCTGAAACCACAAGGCTCATGAACTTTGTAATGAATGCGTGGGTAACCACTTCTTGCCTAAATGTCTTGTCCCCAAATTTGGAAACACCAAAGGCTGGAGCGGCTGGAATATTGCTCGACATAAAGGGAAAGTTGATCCACTGAACGATAGCATGTGTTTATGCATTATTATAGAATAGTGATGGTAACGGGTGTTCCCGAAATTTAACCTTTCAATGTCTTACTTCAAAAAAGTATTCTATAAGTTGAAGTCATCATTTTATTGTCATACAGTCTTGTCGAGAGGTTCAATGGGTCAATCTCTAAGATTTAGAGATTTTGACTATATTTAACTCATAGACATTTCACCAGAGGTGACATGACACTTTTCAAATCTACAATTCATTGAATTTTAAGATTTCCTTTTGGCTGATTATAGTATATTGCTAATTGAATCACACTTCAACTGTGATTGTAGGTAAGGACTAACCCTGCTATTTACACGTCGACGAGCAATGATACATTAAGGACAAATTATGCACAGCTTGTATGGTGTTTTATATCAACGCATTCGCGGCCTCTAGCAATCGTATCATGTCATGACATCCACGAAGAAGGATAAGATACTAACCAAGCTGACTACAAATAGCCCCTAATAAATACAAATCGAGTGACTATCTTAGCGGTTATGTGTACCCCATCGATATGAAGTAAACGTAAGATGTATGTGACCTGGTACTATTTATTCTGCCAAATGCAGGGAGAAAGGTGTGTTTGAAAACCATTCTATTGATCAAAATGTTTCTTTATTCCAGATAATATTTTTGCCGGTTCTGTGTTTTCAAGGGGGCCGCCATCTTGTTTTCCAAAACACGTACTGGTTTTTGTTTCGATCTGGAATCCTTAGTCAACGTTCAATTTTGATTACATAAATCACACAATATTTAGAGGTAAGGGATTAAAGAAGAGACTGGTATATAGATTTTTAAAAATGAGTTTTTTTAAAGCCAATCGGAGATGTACGAGGGCCATTTAATATATAACCAGCCTAGCCTATTTGCTACTGCTCCTCACTTCTTCTTTTTCCACATAATCACCATTTAGGTCTATGCACTTTGTCCAGCGATGTGTGAGAGCTAAAAGCCCGTTGTGATAGAAACCATGGGGTTGTTCGTGTAACCACCCCTCCACTGCTGTCGTGAGTTCATCATCGGACCGGAAATGACGTCCACGCAGTTCTTTCTTCAAGTTTGGGAAGAGAAAGTAGTCGCTTGGTGCCAGGTCTGGTGAGTAAGGTGGAAGAGGCAATACTTTGAACCCGTTCCGCTTCACTGCGGCAACCGCAAGTCGACAGGTGTGCACTCTAGCATTATCATGTTGGAGCAGCACACCTTTTGTGATCTTTCCACGACGTTTGGCAAGAATAGCAGTCCGCAAACGGTCAAGGAGATCGGAGTAGTACTCTCCAGTAATAGTCTGGCCACGTGGCAAGTAGTCAATGAGCAAGACCCCTTTGGTATTCCAAAAGATGGTTGCCATGACTTTGCCAGCCGATGGTTGAGTCTTAAACTTTTTGGGACGGGGTGAAGCAAAGCCAGTCCATTGCCTACTCTGTTCTTTGGTTTCTGGGTCATCATATTGGCCTGGTGTACCCAGGATTCATCACCAGTAACAATTTTCTCCATAAAGTTGTCTGCATCCCGACTGCATTGCGTCAAAAGTACCTAACACATTGACGCACGTACAGCCTTCTGATCATCACTCAGACATTTCGGGACCCAATGAGCAGACAGCTTCCTCATACCCAGACGATCATGCAAAATGGTATGGACACTTCCCTCTGAAATGTCCAAGGCCTTGGCCATTTCTGACACCTTCATTCGCCTGTCTTTGACAACCAGTTGTCTCACAGCTTCACTGGTTTGGTCATTGGTCACCTCTACAGGCCTGCCAGGGCGTGGCTCATCTTCCAGGTTCACCCGACCCCTCTTAAATTCTGCAACCCAGAATTTGACCGGTGCATACGAAGGTGCACTGTCACCATAAACATCTGACAATTCATCATGTATCTCCTTTCCCGGTTTCCCTTTTAAGTAGAGGTACCTAATAACAGCCCTGTATTCAACCTTTGACGAAAATTTGGCAGAATCTACCCTTGCCATCTTTATAGATCACGTGTGTGACTTCAAATACAATTTCCTCAGTGAAACTTTGTCTTCGCACGTGACAAACATTGGTGCACAGCACGTGACAAACATGCAACCGTTAAGATCTGATAAATAGCTTAGGCTGGTTATATATTGAATGGCCCTCGTAATTGTGCGCTGAGAAATCATACAGTGCAAATCGGTTAACTTTTGTTACGGGACTATCCGCTGCCCTCACTACTGACATATAAAAAAATGAATTTAAACACGGAATGATGAAGTGATTCGGTAACCTTTTCTACTACCCCCTGATCATATAACAATTGTGATAAAGATTTATATCTTACAAAGGGTAAACTTCTTCAGTTTGTTTTATGCTTACATGAAACGCCTAGTCATAAGGCATAATGACGATTAATAAAATATTTAGGTTAAAAAACCCCAACTTTTTTCAAAGCTTTTATTTTCAATGACTAGGTTTCCACTCAAATCAAACTAATATAAAGGACTGAAGTCTCGTTTTCGCGTACATATAAACTCGTATCTGTAACATATTCACACTTGTTTCGTTTCGCAAACGAATCCTGAATGTATACAACATATTCCAGTTGTGAATTCCCGTTCCACTTTTGTAAATAGAAAGCTGACTGCGTTATCATTAAGCCGTGGCCTGAGGCCTAATAAACATCTGAGTATCAGCGAGCGTTATCGCTGACTTCCACTGGTCATCAAGACGAAACAGTATCGAGTTTTAAGATTCGAGAAAAACTATTTTTCGATATGAGTGGAAGAAAACGTACCTCGTCTATTAAAGCCGTGAAATCCACCCAAGCTAAGATATTCGCAAAAGTTCAGCGTGATCCAAAGCGGTATAGAGTTGGAGCCACAAGTGAGCCCATTGGTTCTCGGATATCTGGCTACAAGACTGAAGGAAGAAAATATGATAACAAAACGATTTACTGGGCCCCTTCCAAAAATCCAAGGATGAAAGAGGACAAACTCTTGAGGCTGCTGCCTAAAAAACACCCCCATAATGACCACAAATTGAGCAACTTACCTGATGGACAAAGTGGCGCGGTGTACGCCTGGGACATGGAGGAAAAGAAGATCAACAAAAACAACAAAAGAAAGATCAAGAGCAACAAAAGAAATACCAAGAACAACAAAAGAAAGACCTAGTTAGCAAAGTCTGGATCTGGGGCTAAACATTACTAGAGATTGATTGCAACAGTGAAACAATTCATTGAAGCTATGTGATCCTTCTGTAATATTCAAGCCTTGAACTATACAGAACAGTGCTGATTAAAATCCAGGCGGATCTGCTGAAACAACTGGTATATAACGAACACAAAATGAAACAACTTTGGATAAGTGCATCTGCCTTTTGCATTAATGTTTTATGCTTTCTCATTTTGGTTATGTTGATGAATATGTGTTAACATGTACCGTAAATATCTGACGTTTTTCTTTAGTAAATGCGAATACGGATTTGTGAAAAGAAGGCAATAAGGATTTAAACGGAGTCCCAGGGAATCACACGAGCTAAGTTTTTAATGAAAAATATTCGTTGATATTGTGGTAGTTTTCCTAGAATAAGCTTGTGCTTGATATTGAAACGAAAGTAGATATCAAAACACTCACCCGGGGCAATATATAGTTATGATGTTGTGTCTCACTATATCGTCATTGCATACCTGCATTGACTTGTTGTAATTTACTCTTGGGTGACATAAGGTTATCTGAACACAAATGCGAAACAGTCACACAATGACACATCGACATATTTAGCATGCGGCCTACATACGGGTAAAGGGGTCAAACAAGATTGATAATCTCGCCCATGCAATTAATGGTATGGATAAATGATATCTCTGTTATGCAGATGAATCGTTTGATTCACACTATCTTCATTTAGTTAATAGATGCTGTTGCTAATAAAATGTAGCTACCCAGTATTCAGAGTTCAGAACCCCTACATTATGGAGACGTGTCTTGAAACAAGTCAATACACATGAAAGGAGCAATGCACATGAAAAACAGTGTCAGCCATCAACATTTATAGCTGACAATGGCGGTAATTAATAGCGACAAAACCCTTTCCATAATCAACACTCATAAATTCACTTTCACCTATGCACACTTCAGGACTGCCCTCTTTCTTAATGATGATAATAATAATAATAATAATAATAATAATAATAATAATGAAGCATGTCAAGACTCATGATGAAAACAAGACATTCCACAGTTTTCGTAAACGAGCCAAGGATGTGGGACATAATATCAATGTCAGTGTTGATTATGTTGATGGTTCTGTACTGCTTAGTGTCAACCAAGTGAAGTGCCATATCAAATCTACCAAGACTCAGTACTTCAAGGAGAGGCTATCTGAACGACCACTGTATTGGGTTTATGTGCAGTGTGTTGAGAAGGTTAGCAACCCTGCAGAGTCACTTGGATGGGGTCGGCTGTCCTAAAAAGTGAACAGAAGGCTTTCTGTTTGCTGCTCAGGACCAGTCACTTTCTACTCGAAACCGTCAATGTGTGATTTTACATCAAAATGTAAATATGAAATGTAGATTATGTAATGATTTTAATGAGACTGTCCAACACATTGTCAATGGATGCCCAACTTTGGCACAAACACTGTATCTTTAAAGACATGATGTAGTGATTCGATCATTTTATTACCGTCTTCGCCATGCTTGTGGTTTTGACACAGAGGTCCATCCATGGTACGACCCTGAATATGTAGAGGGCGTCATGAAAAATGATCAATACAAAATCTTTTGGAATAGGTCCGTATACAGCCTCAGACGAATCCAGGCCAACAAACCTGATCTTGTCCTTTTTGATAAATCTTCTGAAATCATTTATATCATTGAATTTTCTGTCCCTTTCGACATAAATGTGATTGACAAGATTCAGGAAAAACATGGCAAATATGCGGACCTCGCGTTCGAAATGTCACGCCTGCATCCCAAGTACCAAGTTGTTCGCTTCCCTATTGTTCTCGGTGCCTTAGGTTTGGTACCTCCCAACCTGTTGACTGAAATTGGGAGAGTATCCGGGTACCAGGAATACAGCCAGTCTGACAATCTGGGTAATGCAGAAGGCTTCAGTATTCGGGAGTCTTCTAATTCTCCGAAAAGTTCTGGGTGCCCAACCAGCCTGACTGTGCCAGGATCACCCAAACCACCTTTGCTGCATTTTTTAAATTTTAATCTGTAATAATAATAATAATAATAATAATACTATCAAATCGGCCCAGTCTCAGTTTTTCAAGAAGAGGCTATCTGAACGACCACTGCATCGATAATGTCCAGTGTGTTGAGACGATCAGCAACCACTACAGAGTCTACTGCATTATGCAACACATTGGCAGTGGATGCCCATTTTTGGCACAAACACAGTATGATGTAGTTTTATCATTTTATTACCGTCTTTGTCATGTTATTGGTTTCACATAGAGGTCCAACAATGGCATGACCTGGAATATGTTAATAAGTTATATGTTCAAAGGTTTATTCATTAAATGTTTAGTATGAGGACTGCTTCACTTTTGGATTAGTAATATAATTTTAATCATGATAAACTGAGGGGCAAAAGAAAGTATAAATTTTATTATGTCTATTTAACCATCACTCATTCTTGCAACAGTTTGTATAAAGTGATAAAATGATTTTGCAACCACATGACCACACAGAGTTCAAAGAAAACCAGCTTGCTCAGGTTTGAGCACAGTTGTTACCCTGTTCCATATAGGAGATTCGTATGCATAAAGAAACAGTTCAGAAAGAAGGGGAACACACTTGGTGCTTATGGGGACGCCTACTTCTTGTGTAAATGTCGTACCTCCACATAGTACCTTTTACATAGATGTTATCAATGAGGAAGTCCAGCATTTCCATATTGTAAACTTCAGATCACTTGGTTGAAAAAGGTGAAGAATGTACAACGAAACGTCGCCTCGACTGTAATAAAGAAGTAGTTTATTTATAAGGACCTTACCTTGTTCAGGTTTTCAAATGTTCAATACCATTCATGTTACCTCTGCAACATTACTTTGCAATGTACACATGCATGCAAAATATACACACTTGCTGCAATATAAGGAAACTGCAGGGAGTATTACCTATACATAAGTTAGTAATTGTGTTTGTGAGTTGGGTTTCACACCTCCATTAGTATATCTAATAGCATCTCCGGTCGGAGAAACAAAGAATGGATTCCTAATGTTGTACCAGTGTTGGGAATCAAACCAGATCTTCGGCGTGAGCCAATGCTTAAACCACAAGGCCACCCTAACAAACCACCATAGTACCAGCATAGCTACATTGAATATAGTAGATATTACGAAAAAGGACTTATCATATTGAAGTGATTAGCTCATTTCCTTTAGTTAACGCAATGACGCCAGTAATACTATTTGTCTGAGTAAACATCGTCTGCTAACTCTGCAAGTATGTGAGTGTGAAGTGTAATCAATAACTGAATGTGTCATTTGCAACACAACGATCGGTGCTGTTGCCATCAGGAGATCAACCTAGGGCGTACTATTATGTTTACGACCAGACAAATACAGACGCACTGAATAACACCTCATCCGCTTCAAAGCTATGTGGACCCATGAAGATCTGGATTAGAATAGGTCTTCATGCTTGCTTTGAAAGGTGACTATGAAAGGCGAATAACGGGATCGAGTGGTCAGGCTCGCTGATCATGACTTGGTTGTTGTTGTTCTCGTATCCCAATCTGATCCAGACTCGATTATTTACAGATCGCCATCATAAATCTGGAATATTGCAGAGTGCGGCGTTACACAACCAACAAACAAATAAAAAAAAGCTATTTTGGGTTATGCTACAAGCTGTTGTCTGGTATGAGTAATCTCACAGTTGGGGCCATATAATTGTTAGAAGCTAAACGTGTGTGTGTGTGTGGTGTAAGGGAGACAACTTCACATCGAATGTGTTATAAGGGCACTGATGCAGTGGACCATTGCAATGAAAATA